AGATTTAGGGATGACAAAAAAATTCGCGTATGTGAATATCCATGGATAAAATCTACGACGGATAGTTGGTATCCGTGAATATTTACTATCCGCGGGTTACAGGTAACAAGTATTTTAATATCCACTTATAAACGGGTTAGTTGTGAATATTATATTATCCGACCCGCGGGTACCTGTTACTCGCTAAAAAATTGAAATTACATTTTTATCCTTAGATTTAAATTAGGTTTTATTGTTTTGCCTCTTTGTCTCTTTTTGCATATGTGCAACCGTCCCGTGCCAATGCTATCAGAATGCGCTTTGTGCCACCATCGGACATAGGTGTTGGATTTACGACCAGAACAAGTTCTCTGCTACCATCGATGTTGAATTTACGAACAAGAGGACATACACTCTACCCTAAATTTATTAGTCGTCACTTTTATCATTATGATGTGTTTCAGTCTTTGTCTTTCTACATTCTACAAGACTCGGCGTGTTAGTGTGCTAGATGACATGTTACATGTTAAATAAAGAAAAGAAATTTCTTTCATGAGTGTATTATCCTCATGGCATGGTGCATGCATTATATTGGCATATAAGCACACAAAAATTCTTGATGTGACTAGTGCAAACACAGCGTATAACGTCACGCGTTCAACGTCTAACCACTCAATAACTAACGTTAAAAATGACCGGTGGTAATTTTATAAATAAATTCAATTATTAAATGTCGTTTATAATTATAATTTGACAAAAAAGGATATAAAATGTCGAATGCCTTAGCGTTAGACGTCAAAAGGTTAGTGAATTCAATAAAAATTTGAGCGGGAGATTGAAAATTCATTTACTTTATCTTAGCGCGCGATACCCTCTTCTCTGCTCAAACTTTTCTCGAACGAAGTTTGACGACCATCACATCTAATCTTTCTTTCATTTGATACAAATGTATGTTAATTAACTACTTTAGGTATGATTTTCGTTTATTTTCACCGATTATTTTCGTGTTCTTGTCCTTCATAGGAACATTTTGCTTTCTCTCTCACTGGTGGCAACACTTTATTCCGATGAACCCACCTTTTGAAGGTTAATTTTCATTTTCGTTTTGAAAAACATATTTGTTAAACTTGTTTGTTGTTTTTTTGTTGAACTTGTTTGTTGTTGTTGTTGTTTGGTTGAACTTGTTTGTTGTTGTTGTTTGATTAAACTTGTTTGTTGTTGTTGTTTGATTGAACTTGTTTGTTGTTTGTTATTGTTATTTGTTGTTGATCCTATATTACCATTCATAGTTATGCTTTTCAGGTCTCGTAAAGTTATAAAAAAGATTACAATTAATTAAAAACAATAAAAAAAAATTGATTAACGTCGTATATTGACAAAATTCGACGTTAAATTAACGTCGAATATTTTAAATTTGACGTCAATTTAATGTCTCCCGATATGACATCATTCTCAAATTCGACATGAAAGGCAAAAAATATTCGACGTTGTAGGTTGTTTTTGTACTAGTGTATAACGAGAGATGCAACTATGAGTATGAGGGACTAGTGTTTAGTATATAGTTAGGAATATGGTGCATTATTTGCGATCATGTTGTATTCACCTAACGGACATTAATGTAAAAATATGATAAGGATTTTAATGCGATATTTATGTATGACACATTCCTAAAATAGAGACAACATGTTTAAGTCAAGCTCATTTAGAAAATGACCCATGAGAGAAAGTATATAAAGAAGGAGGGTTACTATTTTTATATTACATATATTCAATATCTAATATCACTTGTAGACTTAAATGTTAGAATTTTTATAGATATGTCACCTCAAGTCGAATGGATAAAAGAGACAAAAAAAATTTTCAAACAAGAAGGAAAAAGACATCTTGGACAATAAGATATAAGAAATCTTGGAAAATAAGGTAGAAAAAGTGAAGGTCTTCCGGGAATATCTTGTCCACACACAAAAAATGTTATTAATAAAATATTAAGTAGTACTCACAATGAGGAGCATTGGTATCTAAATATTATAGTTTTGATGATGTTATAAGATGAAGAATTGAAAACTCTTGTTGTAATTTCTTTAAAAGCATTTTGTAGAAATAATTGTCTAGGAATAACTCTATTTATGTAAGAACAATTAGAAATTTCCTCCTTAGAAGATGTTTGCGCAGATAATCGATTATTTGGTGTAATAATCGATTATCACGAGCCAAATTGGAAAAGAGTTGCTCACGCAAATAATCGATTATTGCTCAAAATAATTGATTAATTCAGTCTGAGTCAGTTTTGCTAAGTCGCGCAAATAATCGATTATTCCTCAAGATAATTGATTATCACTTTTTGAAAACCCCATAAGAGATATAAATAATCGATTATCACTTATGATAATCGATTATCACTAGTAATTGGAAGATATCTTTTCAGTTTCTAACCCTGGGCTTATAAATAGATGTCTTCATAGCTCTTAGAAAGTAACTTTTCATTTGAGAGTATTAGAGGTGTGTGCCTAAGGGAAGCTCTCTGTGAGTGAAAATTATCTATGTCATTTGAGAATACATAAGTTGTTTGAGGAAGTTCTCAAGTGATAGAGTTGCTTAAGTCAAGTCTTGTGAATAGGAGAAGCTCGCGGTTAGTGTTTCTAAGGTCAGAGCAATTCTCTTCAAGTTGGCTGAATAATTTCTTTCGTTCGTTTGTCTAAGGAAGGTTCTTCCGTTCGTTTGTCGAAGGAAGGTGTTTTCTATTCTTTGCTTATTTTGATTATCTGATTGTCATATGCAAACCATATTTTAGTGAAAAAAGTTAATCATTATTCATAGTGATTAACGACTAGACGTAAGATCTTTTGATTCGAACCAGGATAAAATTTCTGTGTTGATTTTCTTGAACCCTTACTCTTTAGCATACAAACTATTTGTTAAAAGTCTTAAAAGAAAATCATGATTTTAAAAAGAAACCATTTTAACTTGGCTATTGACCGTAACACGCTTTCCGCTCTTTAATCGCTTTTTATTCCGCTGCGCGATACCTCTGATACCTACATTTGGTATCAGAGCTTACTTTGTTAGTTTTTCAAATTTTTCGAAAATGGGCGGTCATAACCAAATGTATGCTGAGGGTGCTTCTATTGACAGACCTCCTTTGTTTACGGGGGAAAATTGTGTGTTTTGGAAAATAAGAATGCAAATATTTTTAGAGTCAATTGACAGGGGTATTTGGGAAGTTGTTTTAAATGGTCCTTTTATTCCTATTGTAAATTTGAATGGTGTAGAGAAAGAAAAACCATATTTTCAATGGACTGCTGAAGAAAATAGATGAGCCCAATTTGGTATAAAAGCTCGCAATATAATATCCTCTTCCTTGGTATTAGATGAATTTTACAGGATTTTAGTATGCAAAACGGCTCAGGAGATGTGGGAAGTTCTTCAAGTAACTCATGAAGGAATTGACGATGTGAAGCGTGTTAGGAAGAACACCCTGATACAGGAATATGAGATGTTCAAGATGCAATAAGGTGAAACCATCGATGATGTGCAAAAACGCTTCATACATATCGTGAAGCATCTTTTTGGTTTAGGTAAGAAATTTGACACTAACGAATTAAATGTTAAAATTTTGAAATCTTCGAACGGGACATGGCAGCCAAAAGTTACTGTGATAACTGAGTCTTAGGCCTTGACGTCCATGCCTATGACTGTACTTTTTGGAAAATTGAGAGAGCACGAGCTCGAGTTGAATAGACTGAGTGTTGAGAAAGTCCAAGGAAAGCAGAAAACGTTGGCCTTCAAAACTGAAATTTTAAAAGGCAAAAGTTCAGAAAAGGATGAGGAATCTAAAGATGAAGACTCAGATGACGAAAATATGAATCGCATGATTAGAAAATTCTTGAAGTTCATGAAATCTAAAGGTAAGGAAAAATTTAAAAATGATTGGAAGAAGAAAAAACGATCTTCTTCAAATTACAAGTGCTATGGTTGCGGAGAAAAAAAGCACGTTAATGCGGATTGTCCAAACCTCAAAAATGGTGAAGAAAAGAAGTCTTTCAAGAAGAAGAATGCTTACGTTGCTTCGGAAGAAAATGACTCAAGCTCAACTAGTTCATGTGTTTCTAATGAAGAAGCCAACTTATCTTTGACGGTTAATATTGATGACACTACAAGCCAAGTAAGTTCTTCTAGTTCTGAAACTTCTGAAATTGACTTGCAAAAAGTTGTTCCTGAATTGCTAAATGAATTTGAAAAATTGGATGCTACTCATAAAAATTTGAAAAATGAGTTGAAGGATTTGAAAATTAAATATGAGAAGGCATTAGATGAGGAAATTATTTTAAGAAATAAAATCTGTAATTTAGAAAGGAAAGAGTCTTCAAATGTTGAACATCATGTTGAATGTCTTTCATGTAAGAGTCACATGCTTAATATTGATATTCTAGAAAATCTTCTTGAAGTGGCAACTACAAATAATAATGTTGAAACACCTATATTTGTTAAAAAGGTTTATAAAAACAAAAGTGTGCGTAAAAAGAACAATCAAATTGGAAGAACTTGAACCCTTACTCTTTAGCATACAAACTGTTTGTTAAAAGTCTTAAAAGAAAATTACGATTTTAAAAAGAAACCATTTTAACTTGGCTATTAACCGTAACACGCTTTCGGCTCTTTGATCATTTGTTATTCCGCTGCAAGATAACCTCTGATACCTACTATATATTAAGGAGTATGGCCAAATAGTCTAATAGAACCTTTGATAATATGAATGTGAGGGTCTCATCTTATACTTTGTTGAAATCTAAGAGAGTATCTCATCCTCTAAATCATCCATAAGAAGTAAGTAACAATAGCTATGCGATTGTGCTTAACCAGCTACGTACAATTTTAAAAAATTGTATCAAATCCACAGGAAAAGCATGTACCCGATATTGCAACGAAGACCAAATTTGTAACAGAATGGTAAGTTGAAAACATTTCAATTATTCTGAAAACGTAAATTAAAAACATGCAGCATCTATTTTACTTGAATTGTAGATACTGGATGGTTTAGAGTTAATTTAATCTCCTTCCTCGAACAGCGTAGGAATGCTTTGTTCGTTTCTAAAAAAGTTGTTAGGATCAACCCTGGTCTTCACTATAGCCAATCTCCTAAAATTGTTACCGAAATACTTGACACCCCATTTGTTGGCTTGGTCGTAGCTTGTGTAGCCATTGTTATTCACCCCAAAGTCAAGGTCTCTGTAATTCACATATGCAGCTCTAGGAGAGTTTGAAACGTAAGGTTCCATATAGTTATACACTCTTCTAATCCAATTTATATGCCTTTGTGCGGCCTCGTCCCCTTCCTCTTCCCAAACGACCACATAGTGAATATGAAATCTGTATCCAGATCTGAATGGGAATGCAATTTCGGATTCCGAAATCTCATCCATTCTGCCTCCATGAGGAACCAATTCGAACTGAGCTATTTCAATCTCATTGTCAAAAAGCATGCGCCATAACCCTCGTAATCCATCAATAGGAATGGGTTTCATCACACAATCAGATTTTCCTTTGTATTTCACTAAATCCCTTTGATATCTGTTCAACAAAACTTCTGGGGGTTCATTGCTAATTAAAGATCCATTCAACACACCATTCGCGAAGACAGCTGAGCCAATCCAACTCGTTTCGGTACAGTCTTTTCTGTCCAAACCCAACTCTGGTAAGCTCCTTTGCATCAGTGGAATAAGTTCGTCTACACCTCCTTGAAACATGGACACAAAATTGGCTTGTATTATTTGCTTTCCATGTTTACGTGAATCTTTAGTCACGTCAACCCTGATGAATAAACGCTTGTCCAATTTATCGGCCACAAGCTGCCATTTATAAAGGACCTCGATTGCATTCTCTTCCAATGTCCTTGCAACATTGAACACTGTCACAGTTGATGGAACCGGAACTAGTTTTATCTTCCAAGCCACGATGACACCGAAGCTTGCTCCCCCACCTCCTCTAATGGCCCAAAACAGATCCTCACCCATGGCTTTTCTGTCAAGAAGATTACCATTCACGTCTATTATGTGAGCATCTATGATATTATCTGCGGCCAGACCATGCGAACGCATCAATAATCCATAACCACCTCCACTGATGAGGCCACCAGTGCCTACAGTGGCACCCACACCCCCTGGGAATGCTAATGTTTTGCTTTTCTGACTAATCGTGTAGTAAAGTTCACCAAGAGTTGCTCCAGCTTGAACCCACGCGGTTCGGTTTTCTACGTCAACTCTGATTTGTCGAAGGTTTATGAGGTCAAGGACGACAAATGGAACCTCAGCAACGTACGAGAGACCCTCGTAATCATGGCCTCCACTTCGGGTTCGAATTTGCAGGCCATGGCGTTGGGAACAGATTATGGTGGCTTGAATGTGGGAAACGTCGAGTGGTGTGACAATGACTTGGGGTTTTGAGCTTATGTTGAAGAACCTAGCATTTCGAATAGAGAAGTCTAGTACAGAGGAGTATGAAGTGTTGGTTTGTGTGTAAACAACGTTGGAGATTGAGTTAGAGACATAGGGATAGTTGTAAACACATTGAACAAACTTTTCACGAATATCATATGAAGGAGGTTCAAATGAAAATAAAAGAGCAATGGCAGTAGCGAATGTATAATAGGATCTAAGATGCTTCATTTATGTGGATGGCTTGTTGTTGCTATGATAAACACCAACGTGGACCCTTTAATTTATAATTTATAGGAGACAATGGTGTTGTTGCTATGAAATTATCATGCGCCAAACTAGCTTTTTATATTATTTTAAAGATATTCTTGTCGGGCACTAGTAAAAAATCGGGTTTTTACAGCGCACATTATGCCACGGTTCAACGAAAACCGCA